CCCCAGCCCAACCCAAGTACATTTGCCACTGAACTGCCTCCCCAGCTCTTTTTTAAAAAATTTTCATTTTGAGACAGGGTCTTACTAAGCTTGTTACCAAAGCTGACCTTAAACTTGGGATCCTCCTTCCTCATCCTCCCAAGTCACTGGAATCACAGGCATATGCCATCACGCCCAACCTAAAACTTCCAGAAAGCAACTTGCATGTTATTGACCCTGAACTTACTAAATTGAAAACAGGTTTAGTTTACACGAAGACATCGCATGTAAACATTGAATTGCTGGAAAAAATTTCCCACATGGAGTTTCCTGTGTATAATTGGAGGTTGTCCATATATGACTAATGATAATATGTACAATATATTGATAAGCACATCAATATACTTAATCTTCCTATCATGTTGCCCTGAAAAATAATTTGGCTCCTCATTTAGAGTTATTAACTTGTAAGTCAAAGTCTATCCTGACTCCAAGCTTTTCATTTTTCCTTATTTAATACCACATTGACTTATAGTTTCTTTCATTTTCATTTGAGCCATAGCTAACTGAAAATATTTTTGAGCATATAATTTTTATTTCCAAAGTCCCTCTTATGAACAAAACCCCCTCTGGCTTCTTTAACAAACACAAGTGATCCAGCATGCACTACCACCACAGGACCAAGCTAAGTCCAGCAAATACCCTTCTCCTTGCCCTTTCTAATCTGTCCCTCTTCCCCTGGGAGCCCCTCTGGCATTCCCCTCAAAAGGTTTAGTGAAAATAGACCAACTAGAAGGAACCAAATACCTGGTGTGTTTGTCATGTTGATTGAGACAGATTTTCCTGGAATAGAATCAGTTCAGTGGGAAGGAAGGGCCCATGTACTGTCCATTCTTGGTAGCTCAATTTCTCAATCTTCTGTTGCTGCAGTGTAGTTACTTCTTTGGATTTCAGGGTCCAGGTGTGACTTCTTCCTCCAGCTGTGTTTCCCAACAACTTCATGGTCTTTGCCTTCCAAGATGATGATGTACTCATTTTTTTTTGACTTATTTTAAAAGTTCGTTATAAAAAATTAGGAATAGATAATTTAAAACTAGTTATACCAAAATTCCCATACCCACCAATCAGTTTCAACTATTATCACTATTTATGATGCATTAAATTTTAGATGTTCCATTTGCTCTCTTATGAGCTTTGCCAGCCCTGGAAACAGACACCCATGAAAGCCTCTCTCCACTTCTAGCTTTGGTGGATCCAGTGCCTCCACACAACAGTTCCATCCCTTTCCTTTGAAAAAAAGAATTTCTAAGGATTACATTTTATTTTAGGAACATTTCAAACAAATATAAAGAAAAACAGAAACAATAACAAAATGAATTCCCATGAATTCATCAAATATATTCTTCATTTAACATAGAAGTATTTTTGAAGTTCATCCACGATGTAAAATGCATCAGTTATCCATTTCTTTTTCTTACTGAAAAGCATTTCACTGTGTGGATATACCACATTTTTGTATAGTCATTGAACAAGGACATGTGCATTGTCATCAGCTTTTGGCTGTCATGAGCATTGTGGCTATGAATAGTTGTGCACCTATCTTTTTGTGAATACATGCTCTCATTTCTCCTGGTTAGATTCCAAAGAGTGGAATTGCTGAGTCATATGGTAAGTGTATGTTAAACTTTTTAAGAAACTGCCAAATTGTTTTCCAAAGTAGCTACACCATTTATGTTCTCACCAACAATGTATGAGGGTTCTAAATTCTCCACATCCCTCCATAAGCCCATTAATATCCTACTCTGAGGAAACGTTTATCCAGGTTTTTTTTTTTTTTTTTTTTTAATAATTTTAGTTGTAGATGGACACAATGCCTTTACTTTATTTATTTATTTTTTCGTGGTGCCTTACATGTGCTAGGCAAGCGCTCTACCCCTGAGCTACAACCCATCCCTTATTAAAATCTTTTGTCCAATTGTTTATTTTGTTTGCTTTTTGTGGTGCTGGGGATTGAACCCAGAGTCTTGTACCTGTGAGGCAAGCACTCTACAAGTGCTACAAGCTATAACCCCAGCCCTCTTTTGCCCATTTTAAAATTGTGATGTCTATCTTCTTTTGAGTTGTAAGCATTTGTTATATATTCCAAATCCAAGTCTTTAGAGATATTTACCTTCTCTGGGGAGAATGTCCTTTAACGCATCCTGTCCTTTAACAAGTCTGGTTGTGATGGATGTTTTCAGCTTTGGAATGTCCAAAAGCAACTTTTATTTTGATTTCTTTTTTGAAACATATTTTGGCTACATATAAGATTCTAAATTGACATTTCATTGGTTTTTTTGTTTTGTGTTTGTGTTTGTTGGTTTTGTGCCCCACCCCTCCCCTACTCACTGCAGCTTTCTCACTTCTCCCAGAGCTTGCTGCAGGGTTAGGCTCTAGTTCCCCAGTGTCTGCCCCTCAAGCTTCCCTTCCCAGTGTTCCTTGCGCTTCCCAAATACTTTCCTGTGAGTCTCTAAATCAGGGTCTGCTTCAGGGGGATCTAAATTAAGATTATGCCGTTCCATATTCAGTCCCAGATATTTTTACTGGAGGGAAGTTTCTTAAATTAGTTTGTAGCCCTTATTCAATGTCATTGCTTTGGCTTTTTTCTTATTTTCCTACTACACGTATGTCGCTTCTTATTTTTATTGTTTATTCTCCTGAATTCCTTATCTCTTTCCTTCATTTCTTATGTTTTAAAAATCTTTCCTTCCTTTTGCCTATTTTTGTCTGTTATTATTTTGATATTCCATTTAGTTTAGTCATTTAAAATTATTTTTAAAATTGTAACCATTTATCATTCTGAAATGACTTTCCTTTATTTCTATTTCTTCAATAAGAATTTCAGTGAGTTTTGCCACTTTTTTAAGCCTTTTTCTCCAAACACTCCACTTTTTTTTTTTTTTTTTAATTCTTGTTTTGTTTTTCATAGCACTGACTTGATTTCTCCTATCTACCTTATTTTGAAATTTGGGCTAGAGTTTTTATGCATTTTATGGATATATTTGGCATGGTTTCATGGTCCCATAGGGACTTTATTCTGCTTTTTATTTTCCCTTTTAATAATGGATCCTTTCTGATGTGCATTTTTTGTGTGAAATCAATTTTCCTGTACTTTCTTAAGTGAAGGTTAGGCCAGCAAGATTTTCTGTTGTACAGTTTCCCTTTTTGTTGTGGGGTTTTTTTTTTTTAAAGTTATTGGAAATCTGCCTTCTCCAAGACAATCCTTCTATTGGAAGCTTCCTCCCCCAAGCCTTCCTTTTTTGCCGGGTGGTGGTGAGAGGGGCTGTTTGGGTTATTTTGTGTTCAGCAATCCCTTCCCCAGAATACCCACACTTAGGTCCCCTATTGCCGGGCTCTGTTTGGAAAGGGAGCTTTGGTTTAGTTTCATGAGATCATGGGCCTAAATATCTCACCCTTTTTAGATCTGGGTTCTTGGAGCTCACTCACAAATTGGAGCCTGCAAAAGTGCTGCCTGATGCAGAAGCTTTGCTCAGAATGGTCTTCTGAATTTTCCAGGGTGTGGCTGTTGGTGTTTGAGGGGTTCTTCTCTTCTCCAGCCCTGAGGATGTCCCACTCTCTCCCTCTGCATCTTTGTGTGCAGATGGCAGGGAAGTCAGAACCAAGGAAAAGCTCCAAGACCCATTTGAAAAGAAAAAAAAATTGTCAGAAAAGACTGGTTATTACATCAAGAAATATTTGTAAATCTTAGGTGTAGAAAAGTTACAGTCCTACTTGAAAGGATGCTATTTAAACACAGAAGCAGGCTAATAATGATTTGAAAGTAAATAAAAAGCTGTAAACATGTATAAAAGAACATTTTTTCCCTTCTCTTTATCATCTATAAGCTTATTTGTTCATTTTATGACATGTTTAGATAGAAACAATTAGATAATAAGTTTAAAGTTTCATCTTTACTTTTTGCTTAAACAGACTGAATATAGTCCAGTGAGATAGTTTACATTCTTCCATTTATATGAAGACTTGAAATCGAATGACTACTTTCCACTTTACAGCATATCTCAATCTACATGCTGAATTTTTATCAGAAATACGTGATGTGTCTTTGGGTTCCATAAAATTCACAGTTGATAAAGTAAATTCACATACTCAAGTTGTGCAAGCATACTAAAATGTTTCCCAATAACTGGATTGGGAGAATTACCTCTTAAATATAAATTAATTAAAATTGACTAAAATAGAAATTCAGTATCTGAGTGGAATTAACCACATTTGATGTTTGATGTGTTTAACAGTTATTTGGAGAAGCAGTTTCTAAACTGAACAGCTGTAGGAAGTAACTGCAAAGCTGGAGAACACAGATTATTTCAATTTTGTACTATTTGCATATATTGCTTATCTAAATAAATGAATAAATTGATTTCTTGGTTTAAAATAAACCAACAGTAAGTTTTAAAGCAATAAACAGTAAGTAATTAGGTCATGGAAATCACAAATACACCCCTACAGGATATATGGGGAGTGGGGAGCAGTTATCTTAATATTATACAAGTAAGTCTCTCATGGCTTGGAATAAAATTCCCCTTGATAACATTCCATAAACACATTCCAAAAATACTGTATCACAAACAGCTTACTTGAAAGTAAAGATTATGTGCCTGGTAAAGCTGTATTTAACTAAAAAAAATACAGGATCAGAGTGATAATGAAGATATAGGTATCTAAGGTAAACACAGCTTGAGTAGAATAATTTTATAAAATGGGAACAGAAAAAAAATTTCTGAATTCATATTTTATAGATTTGCTTTCAAATACATATATATGGACTTCAAAAATTAGATACCATAAATTTAAGCATATGCACATTTAAAATGTGCTTAAGTATATTTTATTTATTTCCATCCAAGTTTATAAGTGGAATCAGCCTATATTTTTTAATAGTGTTTTGCTGGTTTTAATGTTGATATTATAGGCTTTAAGTACAGGAAGTGGGGCCCAAATAAAGCCCCTCCTTTTTTATTGAAATGGGGTATGTTATAGGAAAGTTAACACAGCTTTGTCTTAAATTCTACAACTTACCTGTGTTTGTGTGGTTATTACCATAGACAGGGTTTATAACCCTTCTTTAGCTAATTTTAATAAATGCATTCTTAGAAAAACTTTTCTTCACTGCCATTTATACAAAATATTCTATAATTTTTCAATCTCCATATATTTACTTTTGTTTCATTTCTAAGGACACTTTTTGTTTCATATCTTAGACACCTTTCTCAAAAGAAGGGTCTTAGAAATCTTGGGAAAAGTCAGGCATAGGGGTGTGCACCAGTAATCCCAGGAGGCTGAGGCAGGAAGATCACAAGTTCTAGGCCAGCTTACCAATTTAGCAAGACCCTCAGCAACTTAGTGAGACTGTCTCAAAATTTAAAAAAGAAAAATTGTTAAGGGGTTAGTGGTGTAGCTCAATGGTAAAGTGGCCATGGGTTCAATCCCCAGTACCAAATAAAATAACATAAAGGAAATCCTATAAAAGATAAAGCCCACTTGAAGAGGAGATGGACTAGGTTCCTGAATAAATAAGTGAAAAGAGGAAACTCATGTTGAAGAGTGTGTTATATCCAGGTGCGGGGAAATGGTGTCTCTTCCTAGTTTCCTTTTATTTATTTGTTTATTTTTAAGCTATTTTATAGTTGTCAATGGACCTTTATATTTGTTTACTTATATGCGGTGCTGAGAATCGAAACCTGTGCCTCACAGAGGTTAGGTAAGTGCTCTATCACTGAGCCACAATCCCAGAACCCTTTTCTTAGTTTCTTGAAGAAAAAGAGTGTGAAATGGAAGATCAGAAGAGGGAAGCACTGGCAAAGGCCCTGGGGTTAGGAAGGGTTGAAAGTCTGAGGCCAGAGAAGGAGAGTCAGACAGAACTGGGGAAACTGAAAGTCAAGGTAACTGAGTATAGAAAAGATTGCACGAGTAACTCATTTCCTACCAGGGACACAATAAATCTCACAAAAAGAGGGCAGAGCATTAGTGCAAGTGGCTCAGCCCTTCAGAGTTCAGACCTGGGGTCCCTGTTTTCTGGATCCCAAGCCTGGTGGGAAGGCAAGCCTGGGAGACTCACAGCTGTGTTTCTGTTTTGTTTTTGTTTTCTCCTGAGGCGGGGGAACAGGTAATAGAAGTGTAACTGCCCCTTCTGTATCTCTGCCCTGTAGCTATAGGGAAGAGGCATCATTCACCCTCATGAAGCATGAAGAGTTGGAGGCTCTATTGAGCCAGACCATGCTCCAAAATAATAACCTCCAGAGGGAGCCAGCTTTGAAACTCAACCTACAGGAGAAACCAGGAAAGGCTGGACCCTCTGGGGTGTGCTGGGTACGTCATCCAAACCACCTTGGAATATTCAGCCTGGAAATTCCCTCCTAACACAATAACATTCCTTTATCAAGTAGCTACTGAACTGGTACTGCAATCACATATGTTGGTCTCACTATCACGCACTTTCAAAGGTAGGGAAATTGAGGTTCAGAGGCAAATGAGGGTCAGAGAGATAGCAAGTACTGTAATTAATTGAAACTCTAGAAGAGTCTTTTCTTTTTGTTTCTTTTCTCTCTCTCTCTCTCTCTCTCTCACTGGGTGGTTTCACTATTTTTCCCAGGATGGTCTTGAGCTCATGGGCCCAAGGGATCCTCCTGCCTCTGTCTCCCAAGTAGCTGGGACTACAGGCACGTGCCCCACACCCAGGCCACAGTTTTACTCGTAACCCTTGCACTACAGAACTCAAATAGAAGAAGGCTATCATCCAGACTGACTCCTTGGGTCGAGTCTTCTCCACAACACCTGTAGTCTGTTTATTCACAGCACTACCAATGGACAAGTGACTCCCTCCAACCTCTGAGTCCACCAAGGCCCATAACATGTCTGCCGAGTCTTCCTGATAATGGAGACTTTCTAAAATAAGCCTTAAAAGTCCCTGTTCAAATTCCTCACTTCTCCCTTCATCTCTGAGCTCCCTTCCTCTGAACCCCCAGCATAACCTCTACACCCTCTTTCTTTCCCTCCTCCTTTTCTGGGGTCCCTATCCTGACCCTCACGGTCCTCCCTCATGCCCACCTCTGCTGTCTCAGAACCTGGTGTCATGGTGAGTTGGAGAGGACATGAGGGTTATAATGCACCTGTTTTCCCCCAGGAGAAGCCTCACACACCTTCATTAAGACACCACTATGTCCCCCTCCCCACACTCCAGTTTTAGTTCAGAAACAGGAGGTTCAAATCGAGGAAGCAGCAGTAGCAACAATAATAGTAACCACTAAAGCCACCAAACCAGATCCTTGCAGCTGAGAAGAATGTGTCCATCTCCCCCAGTCAATCCTTACTCTTTCTCTCCTGTGGCTCCAGGATTCTAGAACCCCCTTCCACCTCAGCCTGCAGGCCCTTCCAGTTGGTCAAGATACTATCTTCATGGAGTCCAACAAGACAGTCTCAAATGTAAGACCCTTAGTTGGAGTGGCTTGTGGACCCAGTTCCTGCCTTGTATTCTGATGCCTGTGACAGCCCAAATCCTAGAACTGTAGTTTTCCTGACAAGGGGGAGACATCCAGCTCGTCCATCCACAGCCTGGATCAGTATCTTTCACCCACAAGGTTCCAATTAGAAGGACAGGGTTGCTCTCTCAGGACATTTGCTGGCCCAGCTGTTGTTCTATCTCCCAGGCAAACCTGGTCCAGTAGGACAAGCCAAGCCTTCGTAGCCTGCAGTCTATGAGATAGCCCAGGATTCCAGAACCCCTCCAGTGGGGTAGACTTTGCATTTCTCTGACCAAAGTGCTAACAAATAGCAGACCATTTAGAAAAGACATCTTGTTTTTCACATATGACTGTCTTCTTTCTTGATTTCAGTGAAAACATTGTAAAAACTAGAGTTTGTTTTGTTGTTGTTTGTTTGTTTTTTGTTTTTCCCAAGTGTAGCTCAGCACTACTCAAATGAGTCCCTAAAGCTCTTCCTGGGGAGAGACCTCCTAGTTGCCTAGAAGGACAATGAGACTCCGAAATTCCCTCTTCCTGAAACTATCTTAAACTTTTAAAGAGAGGAACAGTGGCATTAGGTGTCATTTACTTTGAATAAAAGAGAATTATAGACATATTTTATTTCTAATATTTAGTTTGGGGGCTCTCTAGAGGGGATTTTCAGTTAAAATGTGAGAGAAAAAATCACCATTGCCATTAGTTTGGGGGCTTTTGTTAGGTTGGTGTGTGTGTGTGTGTGTGTGTGTGTGTTTGGTTCTGGGGATTGCATCTAAGGGTGATTTACCACTGAGCCACATCATTAGACTTTTTTATTTTTATTTTGAGACAGGATCTCACTAGTTGCTAAATTGCTGGGGCTGGCTTCCTGCCTCAGTCTCCCAGTTGCTGGGATTATAGGTGTGCATCACAATATCCCGCATTAGTTTTAACATAGAATAAGAGTCTAGACATAGTAAAAAATATGAAAACTATCATTCTTCTTTTGAAGAAGGGATGATAATCCAGGAAAACTGAAAAAATCAGAGTTAAGCTTTTAGAGTAATATTTCAGCACATTTTCCAGCTACATGATCAATCCAACTAATCAGTAGCATTTCTCAACATTAGTAATAAGGAGATGTATAGTAAAATAAGAACCTTTCAATAAATGATATATCTAGGAACTAAGAAAATTAAGATCTCTGGAGAAAACTTCAAAATTGGAAAAAGAAATAGAAAATGTTTTGAATAAAGGGCATTGGAAGTCATAAAATAATAAATTTAAGAGGATTGAAATATTCAAAGGATGTTTTCCAAACACAAGGAATAAAATGAGAAATCAATGGCAGAAGAAAATTGGGAAACTCACAAATATGTAAATATTAAAGAATATACTCCTAAATGACCAGTGAATTAAGAAAAAATCACAAGGAAAATTGGAAAATGCTTTGAAATAAATGAGAACAAAAGCACAACATGTCAAAACTCATGGGGTAAAGTAAATCATCACTTAGAAGGAAACTTATAGCTGCAAATTACCTTTAGACAGAAAAGGAGCTGACCTAATTATATTAATACCTGTCAAATTAAACTTTAAGGCAAAACACTTTATTAGAAATAAAGTAAAATAGACATTAACAAAAGAAACATTTAGCCTGAAAAATATAATTATGAACTTGCAGATAGTTAATAACGTATACCTAAAATATATGAAGCAAAAGTTAACAAATTCTTGGAGAAACTTGATAAATACTTAACCATAATATAAAATTATCATACAACACTCTCAATAATTGATAGGTGAATAGATAAAAATTTAATCAGGATGAAAAAGATTTAACTACATAATAAATAAGTTTAATCTAATGGAAATGTGCAGTTTACAGGTAGATTTCTACATACACATTATTTTCAAGCACAAACTAGATCACAAAATAAATCTTAACAACTCAAATGAATCGATAACATGAAGACAGCACCCTTTGATCACAAGATAATAAAACTAAGAGAACTCTACCTCACTATTTAGAAATTAAAATCAATAAGATAATAAAATTAAGAGAAACTCACTTCTCTACTTAGAAATTAAAGTCAAAGAAGAAACAATAATTTAAATAGTCTAGTAACACACATATTAAGACTAACCTGGGGCAGCATGTATTTGGAGAAATAGCAGAAATATTGGCTATAGCATGGTTCAGGCCTGGGACAGGGTCATTGGTCCTTAGGCTATGAGAAGATTTTTTTTGTTTGTTTTTGTTTGGTTTTTCACTTTTGATTTTTCTTAATATACTTTATGTTTTAGAGCAGTTTTAGGTTCACAGCAAAATTGAGCAGAAGGTACAGAGAGTTCCTATATACCTTCTACCCTTATTCACACAGCCTCCTGGACTATCAAGCTCTCCCATCAGAGTGGCATATTTATCATGATGAATATACATTGACACATGATTATCACTCAAAATCCATAGTTTACATTAGGTTTCACTGTTGGAGTTGTATATTCCGTGGGTTTGACAAATGCATAGTAACATGTAGTATCATAGAGGATAGTTTATAGTATCATATAGAATAGTTTCACTGCCAAAAAAATTCTTTCCTCCACTTATTCATCCCTCCCTCCTCAAACTTCTGGCAACCACTGATCCTTTTACCATCCTCATAGTTTTGCTTTCAAATCATTTCCACCTTTAAAAAATAGAAAAGAAAACTAAACCAAGTCCAAAGAGAGTAGGAAGAAAAAAAATCCCCAAAGCAAAAATAAATGAAACAGAATAGAAAAAGCAATAGAGAAAAAAAAGTGAACCCAAAAGCTAATTCTTTGACAAGATCAACAAAATGACAAACCTCTAGCTAGTCTGACCAAAAGAGAAGGAAGAGCAGAAAAATGAGAAGGAAGAGAAGGGGGAGGGAGAGAGGAAGATGATGAATCAAATTATTAGAATTAAAAATGAAAAAGGGGATTTTATATGCATATTACAGAAATAAAAAGCTAATATAACAGAATATTATGAACAACAATATGCTAACAGATAATTAGTGTAGATGAAATGAACAAATTCCTTAGAAGACAAATTATCAGATCTAATTCAACAAGAAATAGAAACACTAAGGCCATAACAAGCAGAGAAATTGAGTTAATAATCAAAAAAACTTCCCACAAAGAGAAGCCCAGACCCAATGTCTTCACTGCTAAATCCCACCAAATGCTTAAAGAAGAATTGACAACAATCCCTCACCAACTCTTTAAAAAAACAGAAAATGAGAGAATACTTCCTAACTCATCTTATGAGACCAGTAACACCGCAACACAAAAACTGAACAGACACCGCAAGAAAATGACAGACTGATGTCTCTTCTGAATATAGATGCAAAAATCCTCAATAAAGCTGGGAGTGGTGGCACACTCCTGTAATCCCAGCGGTTCAGGAGACTGAAGCAGAAGGATCACAAGTTCAAAACCAGCCTCAGCAAAAACGAGGCAATAAGCAACACAGTGACACCCTGTCTCTAAATAAAACACAAAATAGGGCTGAGGTTGTACCTCAGTGGTCAAGTGCCCATGAGTTCAATCTCCAGTATCCATGCCACCCCCCCAAAAAAAAATCCTCAATAAGATACTAACAAATAAATCCAGCAGCATATAGAAAAGATTATATACTACCACCAAGTGTTGAACCAAATGGAAGTTTGGTTCAACATGCAAAAGTTGATCTATACAATATTAATAGAATAAAACACAAAAGAACACATGATCATCTTAAAAGGCACAGAAAAAGTACATGACAAAATCCCATACCCTTTCAGACACTCAACAAACTAAGACAATCAAACTCTTCTCCTTCAACCTGATAAAGGCCATCTTTAGAAATCCACAGGTAACATCATACTGATCAGTGAAAGACTGAATGCTTTCCCGCAAAGGTCAGGGACAAATCAGGGATGGCCCCTTTCACCTCTCTTGTTCAACATTGTGTTAGCCATTCTAGGGAAGACAAAAATCCTCCAGAAAGTAAAGAAAATAAAAATACCTCTGTTCACAGATGGCATTATCTTACACATAGAACTTCATTAGGAATCCACAAGAATAGTATAGAACTTATAAACACATTCATCAAAGTTTCAGAATACAAAATCCATCTTAGAAATTTTTACAATGTTCATCTACTAGTTTCTCATGCCAGGTAAGCTTATCCACATGGAAATACCTGCATGGAAGAATCCAATGGAGAGGAGAATGCATTGACTGTAATTTCAGTAGAATTTAATAAGACTGTTTTTAGTTAAAATACTTTCAAGTTATAGCTAGCATTGTTGAGCCCTCTGTATGTAGGAGACATTATTCATGTGATTTATATGTCTCAAAGCATTATTACACATGGTCCCACCAAGTATTGTTATGCTCATTTCACAACTGGAAAAAGTGAGATAGAGTGTGGTTAAGTAATTTGGTCAAAGCCACATATCTAGAAATTAGCAAAGATGCTTTCCTCAGAATATGGCTAAATGTGTTTATTTGAAAAAGATCAGATAACACGAGACTGGGAGTTAGAAGAAAGAAGTGAGTCCTTCCTCTGCCTCCTCCACTAGAAAGTCATGGGACCTTGAACAAGCAATTTACCTTCTCTGCACCTCTGTCTCTTCATCTGCAAAAACAGAGTTGGAGCAAATGACATCTAAGCCTCCTACCACCTTGAGTTCTGTACTTTGGACTTATTCTACCCCTGATTTCTGAATTGCAAACTGCCTTCTCCAGCCACCTGGGAAAGGCAAGGGCCAGTAGAGAACAGCTGCTGACTAGTCATGACAAGAAATCGGAGAAACAGCAACAGGACAGCATGTCACTTGCACAAGTCACTGTTTCAGCCAGCCACTGGGCTTAGGTGAGAAACGTGGTTATAATTAGAGCAGCAGTCGGTGCTGAATGCTCCACCAGTCTCCTGGGGCACAGCTGGACCTGTCCACTGCACACACAGGACTCTGAGGCTGCTCTGGCTTTGAAATAATCCTGCAAAGGGTTTTTCTCTTTCCTCGAGGGAAAGAAAGCCCATTGAAATAGAACCCATTTCCTATTAGGTTTTCCCCTGCTAATGTCATTCCAGTAGAGACCAAGTGATGATACAGAGGGGGAAGGAAAAAGTCGTAAGCTGAGCCTGGTCACATTGCCCCTTGTGATATAGTTTTATTTTTAACTTCAAAACACTCGAACTATTTCTGTTTAAGTTTTCTCCCCTTCCCTGCCTTCCCAACAGAACTCTGTCCTCTGCTGCTGCGGATACACCCAGGTACCTCCCGGAGATCTGCTTGCTCACCATTGAGGGACACAGGAGCAGCAGATGCTGACTCAGCCTGCACTGTTAAGGTAAGCTCTTCAATCAGGGGCAGGTGTTCCATGGGGACATTCAGATGATGAACATGCAGATGGAGGCTTGCTATGCATCACCTTTGTGCCTGAGGAAGTGGGTTGTTGATTAGATTCATTGTGTGTGGAGGGTTAGCCCCCAAGAATGAGACCCAACCATGTGTAAGCTGCAGTGTCAAATTTAAAATCTCAGAGTGGCTTAGAATCTAAACTGCTGATAGTCTAGGTTCTTTCTTCTACAATTAACCAGAAAAGTTATGTGACAGGGGGAGCAGGTGGTAAGTGCACAGGGGGAAAGCCCAGACCCAGAATTCCTATTTTCTAAAGTCCAATCGCTATGATCTTTTCTCCAATCAGCATTGTCTGTGTTCATTGCAAGTCATTCTCATGCAGCTTAAATTCCATCTACTGTATCACACTACCAGTTAATGCAACAGCTATACTTACTGCACGTACTATTTAAACTCTGTCTGCAGTAAGACTTGTTTTTCTCTTAACAATATTCCCTAAATGGGACTCTCTTCTCCCCAGGTCTCTTGAATCCAAAATGCATCCACGGAATATAAGTGAAAGTAGTGTACAAGTTAAAGCTTTATATAGGCTTATACATCCAAACCAAAAATTGTTACAAACTTGAGACTTGCACATCCAGAGGAACAACAGCAAAATGATTAAAGATACAGGCGGTACTAAAAGCTATAAAATACAGCTAGATTATTCGTGGCTTCTGGAATAACTGTATAGTGTTGCATGCACACACACACACACACACACACACACACACACACACACCCCAAGGTAACAGAGCACTGTTTATTTTCTTGTATTTCTCTGGTTCAAAGTTCAGCTAAGGACATCCTGGGAAGTAGCTTATGCAGCAAAAGGGATTCTGTATACTAAACTTGGAAGTGTTCAGGTGAAAGCTAGCAATGCCAACTCAAAGGAGACCTAAAGCAACCACTCAGATACCCTAGTTTCTGGTTCCCTCTTGCCTGTCTTCTATAACTTCCAGATATACTCATGACTCTGCACTAAGTGTCTGTGTTATAATTATGCCTGTTTGCTGGGCACAGTGAAATTCACCATGTATAATTGCTTAACTTCATTTAATTTTGCCAGGGTTTCCATGGCACTAAATCTACAAAATGTATGCTGGGATGCCATCCCAGTGAGACTGGATTACGCTGATTTAGCAGTAATAGAAAGCCTTCATTCAGAGCCACCCCTAGATAATAGCCAATTAAACAACGAAGGAGATTAAAAGCAGAGAGATGTCTGGTGTAGGTGGAGAACTGTAGATTGTGAAGTTGTAGAGATCTGGGGAGAGTGGTTAGGTTTTTAGGGTGTGGTGAAGTTAGTAGAAGCCTGAGGTTATGGAACCAGGTGTGGGAATCATTCTCAGTCAACTGGATGTATAAAAAAAAAATCTCAAGATGCAAAAGGATTACTTCAATGGTTAACTTTAAACATTTCTTTTCCTAAAATTAAATATCTCCATAGCAGGGAAATAGGTTAATAATATATAATTAGAGTAATTCCTTGGCTGGTTAATAGGTTAAGAGTTAAAGTACATATCTTTGACCTTCAACTTTTAACCTTGTCACTTTCACTGAAGTTGAAGCTCAGAAATAAATCATTATTACTAGGGCTAGCCACATGAGGAGGCAGAATAGTTAGTCACTGACATCATGTGAGGGGTGCTGAGAGGGCCCTTTGCCTAAAAATATCTCCCTGACATCAACTCTGTTTGCTACTAACTTTAAAATTATAGTAAAGAATGTTAAAACTATTATCTGCTAATCCCATTCTCTTTTGCTTGAGTCAGTGTTTAAAATACACCTGCTATACCTGCTATCATGACCTTCAATGAGTGACGCTTGGTCACCACCTTTGCCTCATTCTTCCAGGCTCTGTCCTACTCAGCCCTCAGTACCATGTAGGCTGCCCTTGACCACCACGGGGCAGGTAGCTTCGGGTGGTGCTGTTATTTCTCCAGACTCAATAACAGTATCACAGTGTAATAGAAAAGAAACATGTGATTAGACTCTGAGAGCAAGATAGTTTCCTTCTCTGAGTCTTCAATTCTCTTCTAAAAAATAAGGTGAAATTAGATCCTCTCCTTTCAAAGTGATTTCCTTGCACCATCAGCATTGTCTCAAGCTGATTATAGGAGAGAGGCTCAGGCAGGCTTCACCCCAGTCCCACTGAATCAAAACCTGCACTTTAAAAAGATGGCCCCAGTGATTCCTAGTGGGAGAAGCTCTGGAGTAGAGGATTTCTTGTTATCTGCCTGGTCCACACTTCTGATGGTATGGCTGAAGTGGTTCAGAGAACAAGGTCCCGGTAATACCCTGGGAATAAGCCTGGCGGTGTTCAGTGTGTCTTTAACTCCAATCCACTGAAGCCTCTTCCACCTCAGCTAGTCAGTTCCACCCTTTTTTAAAAGCAACCCCAATTAGCATCACTACAATTTCTTCCTAAATTTGTTTCCAGTTGCTCTCACAGCTCTTTCAAAATGCTACTTTCTTTTAGGTTCTGTTTAATTCAACTCCATCCTATTCTGTAAACACCGATCGAGTGCTGGGTGCGGTAGCAGCAGCACCCACTCTCTGGCCCCTCAGAGCTCATGCAGCGTGTTCCTTGAGAGGCGATTGTGCCCGCCATTGACAGTCCAGTCAGAGCACCTTCCACTGCCTTGCTGCGCCTGCCAGTCTTGCAGGCCATATGAACCTCTCCCTGCTCCCAGCTTCCAACAACCTCCACCAGTCTCTGCTGCTGTAGCAGCTAATTACAAGAGAGAAGCCCAGTCTGACTGGCAACTTCCATTTTCCTTAATGAGCAGGAGAATGTAGGTAAACATTTAAACTTATACAAACTTGGGCCTAGGAAAGAAAAATGCCTTCAACTTGTCTTTGTGACATCTAAAAAGTTCCAGGCCTTCTGATGACAACAGCCCCCACTCCCCGGGGGGGAGGGGGCAGTATCCCAGGCCTGAGCATACTATCTGAAATCATGAGTGCTTAAGGAATGCTTTGGGGGTGATTAAAGGAGCCCTGAGGATTATGGGGATTTACATTCTTAAAAGACCGAGGTAAGGTTATTTATTTATTTATTTTTTTAAATGGAGTTTGAAGATTATTAAGCTGGCAGTGTTACATAGGATACATTGAAGTAAGGGGCAACTGAAAATCGAAAGGCCAGCCAAGGGCCTCAAGAGCGATACAATGTGAAGAAATAAAGGCCTGAAGAGGGAGGTGACCAGGAGAATGGCCTAAAAATTGAGTGACTTTGTTTATCTTTGATGCTCATCCAATTCGATGGGTTATTATCAGCCCTATTTTATGGATGACTAAATTAGCTTTGGGGAGATTAAATAACTTGTCAAAAAGTACTTAGCTACTTCATGAGAGTATTGATTGATGTACTTTACATTGGAGGTGTCACATAAGCCTCTTTGTGGAAGTAATATGCAAGGTGATCTCTAAATAGAGAGAAGAAGCTTATAATGCAAATGAGAAAGAGGGGAGAATTCTCCCTGTAGAAAGAGAAAGTATGTGGGTCTCATGCTGGAGTAAGTCACAAGGTGGAGCCAAGTGCACAAGGGCAAGAGATGAGGTCAAAGGGCAGGAGACAGCTCTTACATGGCCTTGTGAACCATGACAAGGACTTCCACACTTTATTTCTTGTGATGGAATTGGATGGAGATTTTAAGCAGGAAAGTAATGACCTAATTTTATAAATTGTTAAATCACACTTTCTGCTGGCAAATATGGATTATGGGGTACAAATTAGGGGACTGCAACTGATCATAACCTCATTATACTGGACTGAATGAGAGATCATGGTGCTTGGGCTTGGGCAGTGGCGGTGGTGGATATGGAATGATAGAATTACCCACCGACCTTCCCCATTAACTGGCAAGTAGTTCCTTTCTACCTGGAAGCACAATACCAAGCTGTTACAGCTCAGTGGTTCTCAAACTGGAGCTTCCATAGAATCAGCTGGATTCAGTAGATCTAGGGTAGGGCCTCAAATCTGCACTTCCAACCAGCTTCCAGGTGATACTGATGCTATTTGCCTGGGGACCACACTGTTTTTGCTAATCATTTTACTACGTTCTGAGTGGTCCACACAGCACTATGATCAGCATCACATCAAACTATTACCAGGTTCTAAATGCTCCCCTGTTTCTTTAATGAAATATCCATTCCTTAAACTCACATAGCTGGTCCTCCCACAACTCCACTTCAGCTACATCCAATACACAGTAAAATCTAAGACCAGGTCTTTGGACTAATTTAAGTCTAAATTATGTTATTTTGACCATTGTCCCCTCTAGACAGAGGAACTTTAAAATTCATTTTAGGAGGGGGAAAGTATATTGATCATGTGCTTGACTGAAGTTTATTCGTAAGAGGATGGGATGATGCATTACCTTTTCAGTCTGGAAATGAGAATTCAAGGGGCTGAGGATGTGGCTCAAGCGGTAGCGCGCTCGCCTGGCATGCGTGTGGCCCAGGTTCGATCCTCAGCACCACATACAAAAAAAGATGTTGTGTCCACCGAAAACTAAAAAATAAATATTAAAAAAAAGAGAGAATTCAAAGGTGAATATAAAAGCATAGAATTTGAAGGGCTCAGGCACAGATTTTTGTCAACTTTTTCACAGTAAAAAGTTTCTATCATCTGTGTGATTGATTTAGTATGTACTTCACTTTAAATTTCAGAATCCATATTTTAGTACATATTTTTAACACTAATCCCTTCCCTTTCACATCTGTGTTCCATGAAATGCAAAGCCATCAATCAGACCTAGATCCTCCTCTTGTTTCCTTTACTCAGAGGGGACATAATATGGGATAAGGTTTAGAGACATACCAAAACAAAATGAAAACTTCTCTACAGAGATGGAGATGGTTCCTAATGAAGAACACCTGGCTTAATAGGAATAGATCATATATGTGGCCACCATGCTGTGTCCCAACTCTAGCCATGGACTT